GATCCTCACCTCTGTGGGGGCAAACAGCAAAGCAGTCACAGCAAATAGCCTTACTGATAGGCCTGCAGCTAACTGTAGTACATTAATGGTTGTCATAGAAAATAGGAAACTGATTATTTGCCATGAACCGGGCGGGCTGATTCTCCCCAGCTCTACACATTTCTGGCAGTGTAAACAAACTGCCTCTTGCCTTTGCTCTTTGATCACACAAGGCCAATCTGCCTCACCTCCCTCCTCATCCTCCCCTTCACTGCCCTGCCTGAGATAGGGTATATGATCAAGGGGAAAAGGTACGAGTGGCTTTATCCCCTGTCTGGCTTTGGCCACACTATCAGGTTCAGATAATGATGACCCCACGAACAAGAGAGTACCATGCTCATGTCTTCAATTAACAAACCACTTCTAGCACTTAGAGTCCCACCAGTACTGCTGGCAGGTATATCTTCATCTTGAGAAAGTCTGTAAAATGTATTCCCAATGATGCATGGATAAGCCAATACCGTTCTATAAAAATCACGCGGGTAATCCACTAATTTTAGAGGATGCAATGGGAAATGTTCACTTCTTGGACCTAACCTGTAGCATTCCACAACAGGAACAATGATTTCTTTTAAATTCCCCTCAGCTTTTCCATAGGGTTTGGAATATTGTAGCTGAGTCAAAGTTTTTGCACCCCTTGTCAAGCTTACCACTGCACCACACCATTCCTTATTTACTAGAACTTTTGATGATGTTTGTCAGTATCTGACATTTAGTTCAGTCCATTACATGCCACTGAGAATCTGACAGGAGTCTCAAATTAAAGATGCCCCGCAAATCTATGAATAACTAATGATAACAAAACAGACATGAGGGGAGAAATACAGATTATCTTCAGCTTTTAAAAACTGTCCTTCTTATGTATTTTAAAAAGTATTTCCCAATTAACACTCTATCAACCCTCCCTTCATCTCCTAATTGCATGCTAACTAGGAGATTCCCATCACATGCACTTTTTAGGAGAATTCTGCCAACGGAGAGACCACAGCAAAAGCCAGCTACATCCTGCCTTATTGCAAGGCATGAGTACTCCCTACTAATAGCTTTCATTAGGCATACACTTACTGTTTTTCTTACTGTTTTAAGTGACATTAAATAGTCAAACAATAGATTCTGGTTCATATGTAAGTGTTCATAAAGGCCAGAGGAAGAGAAAACAGGAGTTTAATATAATTCTACCACTAGTTATACGGATGCAAAACTGAAGCAGCTCAAGTGAAATCGGCAGAGATCTCCTGATACACTACCACAGCTGACAACAGCATTTGGCTCAGTTGCGGCTCTCATCCTTATTCAGTCCCACCAGCACTGAGAGCAGCACTTGGGAAAGGAGTGGATAACTCCTCAGTGGCACATCTGCTAGGTATAGATGGCATTCGCTTGAATAGCTTTGCCAAAGGATGACATGCCAAGTCCTTTATACTAAAAGGCTTGCGCTTGATGTTAATCATTCACCCTCTGCCAGTTAACATGTTTATCCTTCTAGGAAATACTTTGATCTATACTGGCACTTGAAATATAGCAACCAATGTTACTAGACTGGAAATGAACAAACACGATCTTGTGCGAATTGCCAAATGGCACAGCAAAATGCAGGATGCAGGGTACGGAGCGTTGCTTAGCAACTGGAAAAGGCCATGCACTCCATTTTACTATTTGGGTTTGAAATAGAAAATAAATGGCCTGATAGTTATTTGAAATACATGGAGAGCTAGAACACGATAGTGCTCAGGAGACACCTATTTATCAGGAGTGTCTGTCATGGGAGACAGCGAGCTCTGAACTCAGCATTCAGTAGGTAAGTGAAGGAGAAACTGCCTTTCAGATATTTTGCTTAAAATGTAAATGCAACAGTAGTTTAAGTTCAGTGCATGTATTCTGCTATTCAACCCGGATTTAAAACAATTGCTTATTTCTACCTTTCATCTTCCAGTCTTGGAGGGGTTTTCTTTATTGTTATTATTAAACAGAAGACTGTTAGTTCATCCTCCATTTGCATGCAAGGAAATGGAAGTTTAGAGCAGTTAGGAATTTACCCGAGCAAGTTGCCAAACTGCAAAGAGATCACAGGCATCCTGAGCCTAAGCAATGTCACAAGGCTTTTGCACAACATGGCCTCCTTCCTCCCTCTGACACAGCTCCCCATGCTGGGCAGCAGCTCTTTAACACACAGATAAATGTACTTGCCTAGTAATACTTCATACAGGAAAAATAAAGTTCTCTGCAAATATTAATTGTGTCCCCTACCTCAAAGCTGTTGCTGTTGTTATTTTCCCATTTAAGAAACTGAGGCAGGAATTAAAGTGACTCTTGAAAATCACACGGGAAGGCCCCTGAGGTTTGGGTGTAGAGCAAACACACCTGACATTCACCTTAGCGGTACAGCCTTCTCCTCTTCCACTTGCATTGCTGTTTTGAAAGCCTTTTAAGTGGTACGAGGAACCCTCAGCCTCCGCTCAAGCAATCTAATTCTCTTGCAAAGAATTTTGCTCCCTGTCAGCTCGCACCCCAGGGCACCCCGGGGCTGAGGCTCCTGCAGCAGCCGTCAGTACCTGCGGGGGAGCCCTGCCTAACTCGGTGGGAGTTGTGGGAGCACAGCTCGGCCCGGCCAGGGCTCAGACCTTCACAGGAGCGTGGTAACGCGGGCAGAGCTGAGCACAAAGGGCAGCTGCTGTCAGGGGGTGTCAGGTCCTTAATCTATGTAACGTTGTGTAAGCTCCAGCCAACAGCCTTCTACACAATACCGCTTGTGTCTGCTGAAAATGGTGTTTCCCATAATTGCATTGTTTGCTTAGAAGGGACCCGAGATCCGGATCAAGTTCAACAAGATCTGTGTCATTCTAGTTAGTGCTGTTTTTCAAGCACACCCCTTCAGTGAACAGAAAGCCCTCTGAATCCATGACCAGACTTTCGGGGCCAGATAACTGACTGTTTCGGTTTCTTTCAAGTTGTATCGCAGTAGACACACGCAGTATCCTGGATACTGGACAGATTTAAAAGTGGGAAGAAAAGGTTCCAGCACACTGGCTTTAAAAGGGAGAACAAAGTAAGTGAGGATCAGAGGGAGGAAGGCGATCGCTATGACACTAAGACAATTAATCACTGCCAGATGTTAAGGGTCACACAGCACTGCATGCTGGGAAGAGCAGCAGGGGTTCTTGGACAGGGAATAGAGGGAAAAAATAACCTGTCATGTCAGGGAACGAGTCAGGGGTTTAGGGTTCCTGTTGTTTAACTATTAGTGTGCTCTTAATAATAAAATGACAATGCATTGCAGAAGAAGGGGAGGAAGATGGTGGAGTTGGCAGAAAAGAGGGAGTGACAGCTTAATAATCCCTGTCTGTCAAAAGCACTAAAAATACCATCCCAAATTCAATGTTCTTACTTTTGTAATGAACGCGCCAGGGTTCCTGTTTGATTAATAGAACACTTGTTGACTGACAAGGACAAATGTGCACATGGTTTGAACACAGCGTTGTGCATAAATAATTTAAATTGTACTATGGCCAGAGCTCAGCTTGCGCTGGGATTTCTATGATAAACCCCTACGTCTCAGCAGTTCATAACACGGCCTTAAAAGAAATGCTCAAAAGTCTAGAGCCCAAAGTTGGACAGAGAAGGCTGGCTGGTTTGCTGGAAGTATTAAAAAGAAATTGATACCCTTTAGAAATCACAGACTTTTGTTAGGGTAGTGATGCTGGTGTGCCTGTTTGCTCAAGTTTTACCTCTCACATTAAAGCAAAAAACAGATGGCTTTACACTGAATAATGCAAACAAACTTGCATTCACAGTTCTTCCCAGTCTTCCACATTAACAGCAACACTAAGGACTGCAATATACACTCACCCCCAGAACAGGGCATTCTTCTTGAACTTTGGAAATCATGTTCAGAGAAAAGAGTTCACAACATTTGTAAATGGTCACTCGTTGCAAATATTTCCTGCATTCCTCTGGGAGATGATTTTAGTTCAGTTAAGCTGTTATCTCTTCAAAATGAACTCTTTTTTTTTTCACAGAAAAACAGGATTTTTATTAAAAAATAATACTTTCTACTGAAACTGACCCATCTTTTTGTTCCTAAAGTAATATTTAGGTGCTCAAATATTCATCACTTAACTATTCCACATCTCTGGGGCCCACACGCTGGCCTAATGGAATAAAAAAACAACCAGGACATTCATAGACACACTGAGCATCTCTGATACGATCTATCAAATCCATACAAGCAGAATATGTCATATTCAGTCATATCAGTCAGATATGACAAATTGTTTTTGCAAATCTCCATAGGTTAGACAATCTTTACAGCAACCTTGATATTCACAGTCAAGTTGCATAAGGAAAAAGGGGTGTATAAGGAAAAGGGATGCACAGTAGCAACTTCTGCAATTTGTTGAAATAACAGTCAAGAGTCATCAGTCTGCTTCCTAGCATTGCTACTAAGCAACTTCAGGCAAGATTTGGCCTGTGCTTCAGTTGCTTCCTATGTAAACAGGACTACGTCTTTCCCAGTGTTACCAATCACAGATTCTCCAGTATTAATGAACATCACAATAGTGCACAGAACTAGTACAGGCTGCTTCAGGAAAAACTTATCATTAGAGAACTTAATATAACCAGTGACTCTCACCACAAGACAACAGCAAGCAAATCACTCCTCGAAAAAGCTGCTAAAGTAGCACCCTACAGAAGACAGACAGTTTTAGTTCTCCATCTATATAGAAATGAGATCTAACTATCTAACCTCCACTGAAGATAACAAATACTTTGGGTAATGTGACACATTAAAAATCTACTTACTAACATCATTTCATGGTATTAGTGCCTCCTTTATATTTATGTTAATGCAGCAGTCATGTAGGTGTGTGTGTGCTCCACTTTCTCTCTATTTACATAGCATAGAAACAAGTCCAGAAACTTGCTTCTTAAGTTCTTTGTCCCATAAAGTAATTTCCTCCTACCTTTTCTTGTTGCAGTTCACTGATGTAATAGATGGTTGCTGCTGCTTTGTAATGCTTCTGTTTCCAGGTGGCCCAGAACATTGTGTGTCACCATGCCCAAAGGATAGTTTAAGATGCACTGAAGTTTGAGGTGCTTTGAGTCATGAAGACACCTGAAGTACTGATGCACAGCCTGGGAAGAAAAAAAAAAAAAAAAAAAAAAAAAAGCAGAACTGGTTATACAAGTACAGAACACATTCTTACATCTTCAACAACTAATTTTACCCTGTGGAGCTGTTTGATAAAGTTACATTCAAAAGATAACTAATGTAAAAATAAATACATATTGTATTTATGCCAAACACCTTCTGGTTATCTCATTTATCCCAAGAATTTCCAGTATATAATGAAGTGAGAATAATTGAAGGCCACTAGGCATACAATACATCACGTTGCTACAGCACCATGTGCTATAGCACTATGCAACTCTGTTGTGATGCTCCATCTACTTGGAGTATTTAGTAATTTCATCATTTATGTTATCTGGAAAATGACCAATATATATATATATATTTATCCATATTGTCTTATGGATATAGCAGAATGGACTGGATTAAACATAAAAATGGTGCATTATAGAAATGCATGCAGTTGTCTGCATAATTACACACTGGGCATGTTAGTAGAGCATTTGCATACATAAAGCTTCTTTCGCTTCAGAGAACTTTCACATGCACTTGAGATTGTTTCATACTTCAGATTGCTCCCCCAAATGGCATACCACGATATATAGCTAAACAATCTGCTAGATCAGTCATAGCACAACACATGTTTTTTCCACATGTGCCTACCAAAAATACCAGAGCCTCCATGTAGCTTTCTTCTTTAAAGCAAGTAGCAAGGAACAGGCTGTTTTACTCCCCTCCAAAACTTCAGTCCCAGTAGGCAAAATACAACCTTAATGTTCATGAAAACTATGGACAACAAAAAAGCATCAAATATATCACAGGCTATCCAACAAGCAAAACCAGACTGGCTAATGTCCAATTTGAACAGTAGTTAAACACATCTCTCTTGCTTTTATTCACTTTGGACAATACAAATAATTAATCAAAAGCAAACAAACTACCAGAATCTAAGTTAAATCTTATCTTTACCAATCAAATGGGAGGCAGAATAAGTCATTACTTCAATTTGTGATGATGAATAAGATAAGCCTGCAAGTCCCTTTTAGGAACTTGTTTCTTGTTGCTGAAGTAACACTGACTAATAATACAACATGGTGCATATTAAAAACAAGCCTTTTTCCTAATAGTTGGAAAGATTTAAGAATTGCTGTTAACAAAACATACCCTTTTTCTTGCAAATTTTCTAAAGGGTATTAAAAAAAATCAAAAACTATGCAGGTAGGCAGATGTCATTTTTACCTACAGAACTATTAGTTGCCAACTCTGCCTGCTTATTTGCAGGCTGTGTTCTTAAAACAATAGAAGTATCAATAAGTTGTTTACTCAGCTAGCAAATGAACTGTTTCTTTCAAGAACACTTTGTTAAACTAACGGGTTCTAGGACTGAATGAAATGGCTCAGTTTTCCTTTGTGCAGTGTCGTAGAATATGAACCTAAAATATCAATGGAATTTAACCTACAGTTTACACTAGAGTTACGTGCTTTACAGGATCAGAACTAACTTTTAAACCAAGCCAGATAGGCTGTTTTCTTGACAGAGTTTCAACTGAACAAAACACGTGTAGACAATTAGCCTAGTTTTAGAAGTTGGCCAAATCCAGAGAAGAGCTGGAAATATATTCCTTAGTGTTTCTCATTAGTGCTTGACTGACTGAAAGGATTTGATAGGAGAACGGCTAGTTCACGGCTGGCCTTTCATCTCAGAGACCTGTGCATAATGTGCCCCAGATTCAGCAAGTATGAGTTAGGTGGTGTCAGCACAGCCTTAACTGGAAGTTGCTTTTCATAGCATATAAACAGTGCATAACTCATGGGGTAGCACAGCTGGCAGCCTCGGTGTGGGGCTGGGGCCAGGGCTGTGGGGGATCATGATGGGAGCAAGGGACATGCGTGCACATCGCCCGCAGTCGCTTGCCTGGTGCTTCCCCTTGCTCCTGCAGTGCCTCCTTTCCTCCTTTGCACACCTTGCATATGAAGATTGCAGCCCTCAGAAATCTGATCCAGCCTTGTTGGAGCAATTGCTAAATTGCCTGAAAATAAATGTAGTTTTGCTCTCCTGGCAAATAGAAAAAAAATCTAAGCCCCAGCCCAAGCTGATATTGTTACTTGAATTCACTGCAATTCATCTGTTTCTTGCATCATAATCTCTCCAAGTACAGCTATGCCAGCATGTTAGTGAGAACAACTATCCTCCCCAGAATCTGGAGGGATTGGCATTTGAAGTACAGTTTGCATTGAATTAGTGGATACCCTACACATTAACAAAAGAAGAGTTCAATGTATATAAGCCAGAGCATGTTCTCTAATGTTGATGTGGTAATCAGATAAAACCTAGCCGTATTAACAAGCTAGTCCAAAAGGAAGCATTAAATGCACAAATACAGTACGTCTATGATCTGGTATATTGATTTCCTCATACTTCTTACATAATGTCTTGAAATTTGCTATTAAATCAGTATTTCTCACACTCAAGTAAGCAAACCCAGTTCCAATATCCAATTTCCCCGAAGTTTTTCTAAACCACAAGGCAGTACAATTTATGGAGAAGAATATATACTATGACACATTTTCCCAAAGGGAATGCTTTTTGGAGAATCCATCACTTTAATATCTTTTTTTGAAAACTTGTATGATTTAAATATTTCCGTGCAAGTATTCCTATTCACATGCCTCAGAAGAGCTCATATTCCTCAGCACAAGGCACTTTCTTACAGATAAAACACCTCAGATCCCACATAAAGAACATCCAAAGTTTGAACTTTATTTTTTTACTTATGTGCAAATTCTTCTAGAGACAATTTTCTTCTTTTTACAGTAAACTTTGGCCTTTCAAAGATGTATTCAGTAATGACTCCTGTAAAGCACCTCTGCACATGGTGTTGAAGCAGAAAAAAAAAAAAAGTGAGATACCTACTTCTCTCCTACTCCTGTTTAATCTGATGAACCTTCTGTAGTTAGTGGTCTCACAGAAACCCCGTACTATCTTTCATTATCCTCCATGGCCACATTTTACATCTCAAATATTTATCTGCTCAGCTACACCTAATTGCCTTTAACGTTGCCTCTTGGGGAAGGAGCAACTATGAGCCACTTGATCACTCTTCCCAATGTTGCTACACGAAGACACAATTACAACTCTCCCAGTGCTTATTTCTTACAGTTGCAACATCTGGAGCCAATTAATAATGCAAGAATCATAAGAGAGGGAAAGTATCTAGCCATGTGGTTTCTAAGAAAGGTCATTCCAATATACCCTACAAGCCCACAAACCAGAAAATAAAAGTTCTAATGTTATTTATTTAAAATATCATTACTTTTCAGCACTTTCCTGTTAGTGTGATCCCGATGTACTGACTCACCTAGCAGACACATGGTGGGGGGCTTGGCCATGCGAGGAGCATTCCCCCCTGCTAGGGAGGATGCACAGAACAGGGATGCTGCTGGCATGCACGTGGCCAGGACAGCATGGCCTTGCTTCTGTGCACCAATTTGCTGCACCGTGCTGTAGCAGGAAGAGAACAGTGCCACACCACACACGAGCAAATGACACTTGAGCAGTCTGTGTTTCTCTACAGGCTCCACACAGCTTCATCCCGTTGCGGTCCACCTACTGTTACTATTCTCTAAGGTGCTCTTCCAGAAGATTGTAGGTAGGTAGATAGATAATATATAACCATACTGAATAAATATCCACCCACAATACCTAATACAGAATATATAGACAATATTCATTCTGCTGTCCAAGTTTCACTTGGATATGGAATTTGCTCAAAGATAAGGTGATTACATTTTTGGAATACATGAGAAATGCCAAGTAGCACCCAGCTACTTATTGATAAATCAATTTTATATTGCAATGATATTTATAGGTACAGACTTAGGAGTTAAAGACACATTAGAGAAAGCCTTCAAGAGAAAACAGGCTTTTGGTTTATGCACAGGAAGCTAACTGATAGAAGATGAGCTCCAGAAAATTTTAAAATGAAACATTTCATTATTTTTCCAGTTTTTGAAACCTTATACGGTTGAGTAAAATGTCTGCTGCCATCTCTTCAGCTGTTTCTATCAGTTTGACAGGCTGTAGCCTTCTGAGTCTGCCTGGTCACAAAGGATTAGGCAAAACTACTTTATGTTTTTCTTCCCCTCTTGTTCCCCCATTTCTTCTCTCCTTTTTCATCTTTCTTGTGAATTTAGTGGGATTCCCACTTCTAAACTCTCAAGCTTTCAAAGTGTGACACATGAGTTTAACACATCTTGTTAGCTTAATATCTCACAGAAAAGACTTTCTTTCTGAAATGCTCTAGGTCAGCTTTACCACAATTATGAGAAGTAATTTCTTAAGGCCCTGATTCTGCTAAGTACTGATTACCCTCAAATCTGGTATCAGGATAAGGACCTTTATTTTTTTCTACTGGAAGATGATAAGATCAGAGGATGATTTTTTGTCCGCTGACATCAATAGGAAAAGAGTCACCAAGGAGGAGATATTCCTAAAACAGTGATGGACATGAAGAGGAAAAGGCGTGAAAGGGCTTTCAGCAATGCAGTTGATGTCGCTGCCTTGAGAACACACTCTGACACCTCCCAGAGAACCATCTCCCTCTCCACCTTGATAAAACTTGTCCAGGAAATCATCTCTCTTGCCTGTCTGCAGCCTATACTTCTCCTTTGAACCCCATCTCCTCCCTCGAAAATGCTGCTCTCTGAATCTCAGCTTCCTGCTTTTACCCATACGTTTCTAGAGCTCTGCTGCCTTTCCTCTCCAAGCTTCCAAAGATGCTTTCAAAACTCAGTCCCCTAAAACTGCACCATTTAGGGAACAAACAGATGAGAATTTGGCTTTTTTTTTTTTTTTCTGGTTGTTAATAACTTGTTTTTCATAAGCACAGAAAAAGTTATATCTGAAGATATCCTTGCTCCTGCCAAATTTGATGGCCCTGCTCCAAAGAACACATGCTTCTTCACATAGCTTTTCATATATTTGGAGAGAGTTGTGTTTTTGCTT